AAGGGCTTTCTGCAATTTCTACCCAACAAAAATTCACTGAAGTGAGGACAAGAGAACCGGACAGCTAATTACAGCCTCCATATGTCAATTGGCCGCCCTCCCTTCTTTTCTAGCAAAACAAAATTGTTTTCAGAGTGCTTTGCATTTCTTTACCACTTTCCCTCCAGGGCTTTTTTTTTTGGGGGGGGGGAGGAATAAAACACAAGTGTAACAAAAGAGAGAGATTTCCTCCTCCCTTTAAAAAAAGCTCTGTTATTTAATGCCAACTATTGAAGTCCTGCCTACCCACCCCACTTTGTCTCACACAATAAGCAAACTGCCTGATATGAGAAAACAATATTATAATGGCTGGTTCTCCCCCATCCCCTCCCCCCCGAAAAAAAGATATATCTTCTTTTTTGGTCACACTTATAGAAAAACTGTCCCATTAACAGCTTTACAGCTTTCTTGAAAAAGAGGCTTTCAAAAGTGTCAATAGCAGATCCAGCTCAGCCTTTTTTTATCCGCTCGCACAAATACACAAAGCTCTATTACTGCTGCTAGGCCTGTTTTTGCTCTGCGCAGAGCTTTCTTGAAGCCCATTGTCTTTCTCCGTCACAGTTTTCCCTCTATTGCATTGCTTTTCTCTCCAGTGTCTTAAGAGTCACAGCTTAAGATGCCAAGCACTTGGCGGCTGATGAGGCATTTTGCTGGCGGATGATTTAAATGCCTTGGACAGAACTGATAGGGGTCGTGTTGAGGCTACAGGGCCGGCCCTCTTACTAGGCAAGGTGAGGCAGCTGCCTCGGGAATAGAAAGTAGCCGCAAGATGTTGGTGGTAGGAGGCTTTTCAATTCAGCTGCATTATTTGTATATTTATTAATTTCTATCCAACTGTATTCTGCTCTGGTCAGACCTCACCTGGAGTACTGTGTCCAGTTCTGGGCACCACAGTTCAAGAAGGACACTGACAAACTGGAACATGTCCAGAGGAGGGCAACCAAAATGGTCAAAGGCCTGGAAATGATGCCTTATGAGGAACGGCTAAGGGAGCTGGGCATGTTTAGCCTGGAGAAGAGGAGGTTAAGGGGTGATATGATAGCCATGTTCAAATATATAAAAGGATGTCATATAGAGGAGGGAGAAAGGTTGTTTTCTGCTGCTCCAGAGAAGCGGACATGGAGCAATGGATCCAAACTACAAGAAAGAAGATTCCACCTAAACATTAGGAAGAACTTCCTGACAGTAAGAGCTGTTTGACAGTGGAATTTGCTGCCAAGGAGTGTGGTGGAGTCTCCTTCTTTGGAGGTCTTTAAGCAGAGGCTTGACAACCATATGTCAAGAGTGCTCTGATGGTGTTTCCTGCTTGGCAGGGGGTTGGACTCGATGGCCCTTGTGGTCTATTCCAACTCTATGATTCTATGATTCAACCCTCCCCACCTGAGGAGCAGCAGTAAAGCAGCCTGGACGTGGGGGTGGGATGGCTGGGGGTGAGGTTATCGCCCGACCTGAGTTATGGCAGTGCTGTGTGATAGCTCTTTATCAGGGCTAAATCCTGCGCCCTTCCTAAATTCTGAAAATAAAAATGTAAGTAGGAAAGATCTTCCTAGTCCCCCAATTCCATTTTTCACCACCGATATAAGCCTAGGGTGGCTGCCGAACATTAAAAAGTCAATTAGAATGACAATGAATGTAAAAAAATATGTGTTTGCAATAAAATCTGTAATTTAGAACAGGGTAATGGATTTGAAAATGGAAAAAGGGTTCTCCTAAATCAAATGTCTTTCAGCTGTAGTTAATTTCAGTCAACAGAATTTTCTCAAGTGTTTAAATCATACTTTAGACTATGATTTATATGTAGAGTATGCGGGGGGGGGAGTAAAAAGACATCTTGTGCTTTATTGCTCCTGTTACTTCCCATGCAAATTTTTTCGCTGTGCAAAACACAAAGGGGGGGGGGAGGCTTTAAGAAGCTTTATTACATTCAACATTCTTAAAAAGCAGATGTGTATTTACTGCTCATTATCATCACGTCACTATAAAATTAGCATGTGTATATTAAAAATTGTGCAGGAAATCAAAGTGCTTATTTTGCATGTGTAAATCTGAAGGCTGTTGTCTGTTCCACGTAGGTCTTTTTTTAAAATGCCTGAGCATTTTTGACATTCCTGGGATGGGACAGTATCTTCAGAGGTCTATGAGATGCTGCTAAAATGCTTCCTAACATGTAGTGGTGCTTACTTATATCGTGATGGCAGAGTTCTCCAGCCACTCTTCCTCTAATTGGTTGCTGCTGGTGGGAGTGAGGAAATGCGTCACAATACAGATAAGCATCTCTAAGGACCACTTAGAGGTTGGGGCCACTCACCGCTGGGAGACGGGAAAGACTTGACATGGTCTTCTGGTGCTTCTGTTTCTGTAGGTTTCCGCGTTCCACACATAATGTGCAGCGGCACCCTTAGACGGATACCTTAGGGCAGGGGTGCCCAAACTTTTTAAAAGAGGGCCAGGGGCCAGGTTTGATGAAGTGAACATGTGTGTAAAGGGTAAAGGGACCCCTGACCATTAGGTCCAGTTGGGCCGACTCTGGGGTTGCGGCGCTCATCTCGCTTTACTGGCCAAGGGAGCCGGCGTACAGCTTCTGGGTGCTTTCGAACTGCCAGGTTGGCAGGAGCAGGGACTGAGCAACGGGAGCTCACCCTGTTGTGGGGATTCAAACTGCTGACCTTCTGATCGGCAGTCCTAGGCTCTGTGGTTTAATCCACAGTGCCACCCACGTCCCTTGAACATGTGTGAGGGCCGACCAAAGTTGTTGAGCGTTTTTAGGATTGAAGTTGTTGATCTGTTTTTTTACAATTTTACCCCAGGACATATACTGCCATGGGGGCTGGATTAAATTGACTGGCGGGCCAGATTAGGCCCCTGAAATGGACTTTGGACATACCGGTACTTGCCTTAGGGTCTGCCAAAAAATAGCAATGGCTTTTCCCACCTGCCTCTCCCTATTCTCCAGTCCATAGGAACCTTGACTTTGAGAACAGCGGAAGCAGTTGGTGAGAGAGAAGAGGAGTTCAGGAATATTTCTTAAAAATAATTTTATATGTTGTGTGTCCTTGTTGCTCAGCTTGACCGTTTTTCATGGTTTTGTATGTTTTGTGGTATTTTACGCATTGTGACTTGCCATTATTGATTATAGTTTAATAATTCTCCATTGCAATTTACAAGTGTAAACTGTTTAATTATTGTTTGCTGATATTTAATTTTACCATTTACTATTCTAATGGATTATTGAATATTTCTGAATTTGATATGAGTTGTTTATTTTCATGTTATTGTGACTTTTTGGTATTGGATCAGATTGTTATTATTACGTGTATGATCTTTGCTGTCTATTTTGCTGTTTTTTTCAGATTGTAAACCGCCTTGTGCATAGTAATTTACAAATTAAAAATGGAGTGAAAAAGTGAAATGAAATGGAAATCTTGCCTTCAGATTGTGAATGCTAACCAATTAGGCTTCCTACTGCCATCTGGACACTCAGCATTTCCTATTTGTAGTGATTAGTCATGGCAATGAACTCCTGAATAGTTGGAATAGTCATGTTCTACCTGTTTGAAAACTGCAGCTCTTAAGTGGCCACAGCATCTTTGCAAGGGATGAAGATTGGGAGAAAACCAGAGTCACTTTGCCACACCTCTGTCATCTCTTAGCAACCTCGAGTAGGCACCTACAACCACTGTAAACAGCTTAGAGACTGATTTCGTATTAACTGCTACATAAATATATTAACTAAATACATTTATAATAATAAATAGAAAAGGGGTGGGGCTTTGCATTTCTGAAGAGCTAGCCCAAAACTGCTGATCTGCTGTAACCTTGAGATAACTGGGAGCAGCAACTGTGCTGAATGACCGAGAAGATAGTGCCTACGTGTTGAATGAGGTTGTGGCTCCAATGTGACTCTGTTTTTAATACTGAGAAAGTATTTTATGAAAACGGTGGGCTCTGTAGTGTCTTTGTGTGTAAACAGGGACGCGGGTGGCGCTGCGGTCTAAACCACAGAGCCTAGGGCTTGCCAATCAGAAGGTCAGCGGTTTGAATCCCCGCAACGGGGGGAAGCTCCCGTTGCTCGGTCCCTGCTCCTGCCAACCTACCAGTTCAAAAGCATGCCAAAAAAATGCAAGCAGATAAATAGGTAGGAATCTGGCAGGAAGGAAAATGGCGTTTCCGTGCGCTGCTCTGGTTTCGGTGTTCCATTGCACCAGAAGCGGCTTAGTCATGCTGGCCACATGACCCGGAAAAACTGTCTGCAGAGTGGACAAACGCCGGCTCCCTCAGCCTGTAAAGCGAGATGAGTGCCGCAACCCCAGTGTTGTCTGCGACTGGACTTAACTGTCAGGGGTCCTTTACCTATGTCAGCTGATACCTAACTGGATCAGTCAGAAGCCTCTAGTCAGGACTCTCATGGCAAACCTGGGTCTCTAAACTAACGCAAAGCAAGGAGGAGGGGATCTGTAGCATAAAAGCAGCAAGAAGGAGGGTGTGCTTTAATGCTTCACCCACTAAGTTTCCCTTGAATACCATTGGATTGGGGTCGGAGTTTGAATGCAGTAAAAAAGGTAAAGGTATGCAGGTGGTGCTGTGGTCTAAACCACTGAGCCTTTTGGTTTTGCCGATTGGGGTGAGCTCCTGTTGCTCTGTCCCAGCTCCTGCCAACCTAGCACTTTGAAAGCATGCCAGTGCAAGTAGATAAATAGGTACCACTACGGTGGGAAGGTAAACATTGTTTCCGTGCGCTCTGGTTTCCATCATGGTGTTCTGTTGTGCCAGAAGTGGTTTAGTCATGCTGGCCACATGAGCCGGAAAGCTGCCTGTGGACAAACGCCAGCTCCCTCAGCCTGTAAAGTGAGATGAGTACCGAAACCCCATAATCGCCTTTGACTGAACTTAACTGTCCAGGGTCCTTTTCCTTTACCTTTTTAAGAACTTGTGTGCAGGTACTTTGGAATTGCAACACTTACTTAGTAAAATGATGATGCATATCAGGATAGCAATGATAGCTCCTGTTCCCAGCCCAGCTGCGGCAACGGCTCCTACGGTGGTGCAATCTCCATTTTCATCACAAGGGCACACCTTGACCTTAATGACAGACGTGTTGTACAGAGGAGGGTTTCCAGAATCCGTCACGATGACCGGAACATCATAGACGCCAGCTTCCAAATACATTATTCGTAAACTGAGTTGGGCATAGTCACCTGCGGGGAGCAAAAAGGAGATAGCTGCAGCACTGAGGGAGTCATATAATCGTGGGGTTGGAAGGGACCACAAGGAATCTTAAGAACATGTCCACAAGGAAAAGTTCCTCTCCCTGCCCCCATGACCTATGTTAAGAACATAAGTAGATCTTTGCTGGCTCTGGTCTAGCTCTCTGTTCTCACAATTGCCAACCAGATGGCTAAGGAAGCCCACAAGTAGGCTAGGGGGATAAATTCAATTTGGTTTGTATTTAAAAGCAAAACTACTGTACCTAGTTCACATTCTACAAAGCATGTTCTCCCTAAAATGAGAGCACGTGTTGCGGTGGGGGCCGCCGGGCCAACCTTCTGTTGCCAGGCAGGTTAATGGTTATTGCCTGAAGCAATGATTGGATGACCGGGTTGCTGGGGCAAATTGCATGTTTCAAATTGGGTGGGTGGGACCAAAGGCTATAAATATTGGGGGCACACTGCTTTTGCTTTCTCTTTCGCAGAGTGCTTCGGATCACCCGCCCGCCCGCCCTGTGATCCAGTTGACCTTGCTATGCCTGTCATGGGGTTGTCTGCTGTTGGGGCAGGGGCCTAGTAGGAATTTTATCCATTTGGCTGATTGGCCTGTGCCGCTTAGTTTTTGCCTACTACTTAGCAATTCGTCACAACTTGTAAGGTTGCGGTTAGGCATTGGTTATAAAAATTGGTGGTGGAGGGGTCAGGATAGGCTGTGCCTGCCCCTCCAATGGTGCTGGAAGGGAATTCTGTTAAAGGAATCCTGGGGCTTGCCACGATTTCGTCCAATCCCGGAAATGGGACCAGGGCCGGCAAGCCTTGGGGAGCTGGTTGGGTGAGCGGTGAGGGACTGTCGCTCAGCTCAACTAATCCCCAACATTGTTTTCCCTTCGCTGGCTTCTGAGGGAGTTCGGATAGTCAGTTCTGTCCCAGGCGGGGGGACAGATAGTCTTAACCAATGCCTAAGCAACCATGCACAGATATGTATTTTAATAAAGTTGTGGCCAAAATTATGCCAAAAACCTTAAATAAAAATTATGTGTGAGTTGTGAATTATTTGAGGGGTGGCTTGGGGACCTTCACAAGCAACACGTTATGAGAACCAAAACACAGGCATCCTTTGAAATCCGGACGTCTTTGAAATTGTTATGGAAATGCGAGGAACTGAATTGAAGTTTGTAGACGTGAGAAACTTAGGGAGCCCATACTGACAGATTTCCCCATCCCCAGCTGCCACTGAGTGAGGTTTATGATAAGCCAAGCAATGAGGTCAGTTACAGCTCGCTGATTTCAATAGCCTCTCCACTTCCCTCTTCCTATGACAATGAACGAGCCGTCTTCCTACTTTCCCGTCCTCAAAAGCTACTTCCTTGTTAAAGGAGAAAAGGAGGGTGACTTTTATGCAATTACAGCCGGAGGAATGATCATTGATCCTGATTGTGGCTTGTGACAATAAAAATGGAACATAAGGAAGACTGATAATAGCTTCCCCCCCGGGCTATTACTGATGATTTATTCCCAGTTCAATCCTGATAACGGTGCGTAATTATGAACTGCATTAAAACCTAGAGGGCGGGGAAGCCGAGTGCCAATGAAAGCGCTTAAGAGTTCTGCTCAAGGCCCAATCCATGCAATTTCTTATTAACTACCTTGCCTATAATGTCAGCCAGAATGTGGGGTTTAAAAAATAAAATAAATCAAAGGGAAAGGACTAAAGGAAATTTGAAAGGGTGAAGGCTGATCCCCTCCATTGCTTGCGTCGTGTGCCAAGCTGCAAATGCCGCTGGGTGTTGCCTGCCTGGTTTACCATTTAGCCGCGTAATGGTCCAGTTCTTCCTGATGGCAGATGGCACACTTGGCAGCTCAAAGACAAAGGGCCCGATGTTTGGATCGATGTCAGCATCGGCGGCTGTGATGTTGATGACATTCAGGTTTGGCTTTTCACAGATCTGTGCCTCCTTTGGCTGGAGCTCAGGAGCATTATCGTTGATGTCAATTAGATAGATCTGGAGTGTGCCAGTGCCGCTGGCCGGGGGGATACCTAAATGAAGGAAGGATCATTTCCGTGAGTGATTGTTAAGGTTGGCATAGAAGTCGCCAGGCAGAAAGAGCGACCTGCTCTCACCATGCCCCCCTGTTTAGAAAGTACAGGAAAAGTCAACTACAGGTACCAAGGCACTGGGACACAGCCACTGAGAGCAAAGGCTAAAGCATTTCAGACTTTTAAAAAAAGTACAGTACAAATACAAACAGGAGAGACAACATGATACTTTATGAATGGTGTGGAGAAGGTGTACTGAGAAATGGTTCTGGATTTGGTTCAGAACAGCCACAAGAAAACGTTTCTTCCCACAACTTTGGTCACATACATACCACTATAACAGACATGGCTTCCTCTGAAGAGGCCTGGGGAACTAGTTCACTAAGAGTTCTTAGGAAACCCCTCACACAGCTACAGTTCCCAGCATCCTTATGGAATTTTCCATCCCTAAAGGTCACGAAGAAGTTATTTTATGGCAGAAATACTTAGAGATTACAGTACCTTGAAAGTCGAACAGAATCCATTCCAGAAGTCCGTTTGACTTCTGAAATGGTCAGAAACCAAAGCGTGGCTTCCAAATGGCTGCAGGAAGCTTCTGCAGCCAATCGGAAGCCGTGGAAGCCCTGTCAGACATGTGGCTTCCAAAAGAACATTTGAAAACCGGAACACTCACTTCTGGCTTTCGATCGTTCGGGAGCCGGAACATTCGACTCCCAAGGCGTTTGGGAGCCGAGGTATGACTGTACCTGTGTCCATTCTAGTTCGGTTTCAAACCTGGCAGTGGTACCAAAACTGCCTTGGTTGCCCATCTGATGATATTTGTTGGGAGAAAGGGGTAATGAGACCCTGCTCTTTCTCCTTGATCTCTCAGCAGCTTTTGATACTATTAACCGTGATATCCTTCTGGAAGTTACTATGAAACTCACTGAATCTTGGGTTAGTCACTGCCTCTCAGTCTAATGTATCATATTTACTTGAGTCTAATGCATCATGGAATCTAATGTGGACCTCAATTTTCAGAACCTTGAAACCAAAAAAGGATTTGCTGGTGAATGTAAATGTGCCATCGTATCTAATGCGCGCCTTAATTTTTGCAATGTCATTTGGCCAAAGAAGGTGACCATTAGATTCGAGTAAATATGGTATTTCAAAGGGTCATTGTGCTGATACAATGCAGTTAGGAAGGGAGAACCATGTATGTCACTTTGAGCTCCTTGGAGGAAAGTTGGGATCGAAATGTAATAGCAGATAAACCAAACCAAACCAAACCAAACCAAAGCAACCCAAGATGAACTGAGGCTAAAAGCAGTACAAGCAACAAGTAAAAAATAACCACTCTCACATTAATAGGAAGTGAAAATAACTAATGTTGAAAACATTAAGTCAATAAAAGATGTTAAAAGGGTGATAATTCTGGGAGGGGGAAAAAAGGTCTTCACTGGGCAACAAAAACACATTTAAGTAAAGGTAAAGGGACCCCGGACCATTAGGTCCAGTAGTGACCGACTCTGGGGTTGCGGTGCTCATCTCGCTTTATTGGCCGAGGGAGCCGGCGTACAGCTTCCGGGTCATGTGGCCAGCATGACAAAGCCGCTTCTGGCGAACCAGAGCAGTGCACGGAAACACAGTTTACCTTCCCGCTGGAGCGGTACCTATTTATCTACTTGCACTTTGACGTGCTTTCGTACTGCTAGGTTGGCAGGAGCAGGGACCGAGCAATGGGAGCTCACCCCATCATGGGGATTCAAACCGCTGACCTTCCGATTGGTAAGCCCTAGGCTCTGTGGTTTAACCCACAGCGCCACCCGCGTCCCTTAAACACACATTTAAGGAGGTGCTAAGTGAGCATCTATGGGGGCAACATTCCACAAGTTGGGGGCTATGACCGAAAAGGCCCTATATCTAGTTGCCACCCTCCATACCTCAGCAGAACAGGGGCCCCAGAGGAGGGCCTTCTTGGAGGCTTATAAGGCCCAGATAGACACATAGAAGAAGAGGTGTAATTTCAGGCTACCAAGATCCCAAGCCATGTAAGGCTTTCTAGGCTAAAGCAAGCGCATTTAATTAGGCCCACAGATGAATCAGAGGCCTTCATCTCCTGCTTTGAAGCTTCCAGAGGCATCTGTTGCTATTGGCAACAGAATGCTGGGCTAGGCAGACCTTGATCTGACCCAACAAGGGCAGTTCTTCGAGTCCCAGGTAGTATCGCAGTGAAGGATTTATAGCCACATATAACAAAGGTGCAAGCTTTCCCCCTTCACACCGCTGGAGTGATGAGAGTAGCTGAAGGCATCAACCATCTCCCAGGCATGTAAATATTCAAGGTTCAAAAAGCATCCTTCAAGAGCAGACACCAGCGGTTCTAACACTGGTCTCCCTCCCCACAGGGGTCCTGCAAGATCAATGGCTAAGCCTCTAACGAAGGGTCAGCTGTGCCAAAGCTGCCAGATCAGGCTCTCGGCTTTGAGTTTGACTTTTATAAAGGTTAAAAGCCAGCACTGTCCTGTATAATCCTTTGCAAAACACACACACACACACACACACACACACACACATAGGCGCCGACTCCATGGGGCTTGAGGGGGCCCGAGCCCCCTCAAAAATTCGTTTGGGGGGGCTCCGCCCCCCCAATAATCTCCGGCGCCCCTCCAGCAGAGCGCCATCGCCGCCCCTCCCCAGCCCAAAATGCACAGGGAGGGGCGGGCTGCATGCCTCCTGCCCTCCCTCCCGAGCAAAAGCTCCACCCAATTTCCTTTGGAGCTGATTAATAGGCGCAGCACGCTCTCCCCTATTCGCTCACGAGGAGGCGGCGCCACTTTATTTGCATATTCATGAGCTTATTTATTATTCATGAGCTTTCCCGGGCCCCCCAATATTTTTTATAAGTCCGCGTCCCTGCACACACACACACACACACAGAGAGAGAGAGAGAGAGAGAGAGAGAGAGAGAGAGATTCTTCAACTCCCCAGATCTGAATGCTTCAGTAACTTCCCTCTAGTTAGAGGGGGGAACACACCACTTTTAAATTGTTTAATATTCTTCTTTTCTCCCATCTACCATCCCCAGTGAACTGCAGACAGTTTTGTTCCAGGCCTCTACCCAGACTATTTCCTCTAAAAGCCTTGCCTGGGTAGTTTTTTTAAAAGCTCATGTTCTTGGCTGGTGTTTTTTTTTTTAATGCTTTGAAAAGAAGAAGAAATAAATAAAGCAACCCTACTCTTAAAAAAAAAAAAACAGGAACGAAAAGAAACCTTCCACTGATTCTTCCTGGCTATTTTTATAAAGCTTTCCGTCTTACTCTCCTTGTTTGTTTTTGCTGACTGAAGAGTCTCAGAATCCCCAACGAAGCCCTTCCAATCCCTTTCTGATTATTGTTACGTTAACTCTGCCAACCTCAAGGTCTGGTAGTGAAGAAACTTTTCATTCAGCCTGTGGCCCCAGACAGAACTCCTTCTAGGCTCGGTGCCTTGATCAGGCATTGAGTTTGCTGAACAGTAAAGCGAAGCCCAGGGGTTTTTCCGCGACTACCTGCAACCGCTGAGTTAGTTATCATTATGTAGGGATGCTCAAGTGACTCTTCGTCTTACACAGTGCTCAGGTTATGGCTGGCGGGGGCTTAAATCTCATCTATTTATTTTACAACTCACAAACCTCTGAGTTGTGCCTCTAAAAAAAGAAAACTGTCCAAATGTGATGTACATTTAGAGGTGAAGCAGTGAAAACAGACATCAAGCACACACCTGAGTTTAAAATAGAACATTTGTTTTTGACTCGAGCTCAGTTACCAAAACAGTCTTTTAAAACGCGTTTTATTTACTGTTAAAAGGCATCTCTCTCTTTTTTCAGCCTGCTTTCGCTGCCCCCCTCAAAAACTTCATCTTTTTTACCTTGTTTGTCATCTAAGTCCTAGATGCTGATGACAGAAGTCTGCAGCAGCCTTGAAAGTGCTAGTTTTAAGCAAGATCACAGGGCAAAATACACAGAGGTTTTGTGAGTCGGGGACCTCAATGGTCAGGGACCAGGAAATCTTAGATGGGCACCATGAAAAACCAATTTCACAGAAGCAGGCAAACTTCAGAACCCATCCCTTAAAACAACAGGTAAAACACCAACACCCCACTCCAAACAAACAAAACAGACATCATCTCCAAGAATAGGCAGCAGTCCCTCCCCAAAACAACCAACACCTCACTAAAGAAACAACCCCTTCATTTAAAAAACAACAACACAAAACAAAAAAAAACATTAAAAAAAACAAATTGCATTTAAGTATTATTAAATAAAAATAAATATTGAAAGTCAGTATGTATTGGTTGGTTGGCATCTGCCTGTCTCAGGAAACAATGGAGTGTGCCTTTGGAGGTGAAGTCAAACCCTGGAGAATCACAGAGCCTGTTATGGCTGCAGAGACCGTAACGCCTAACTGCTGCTTCACACATTGTTTTTGCTGCGTGAGCAGTGCTGAAGTGACCTCTCTGGGGCGCAAGCCATGGCAGCGGGTATGCCCAGACAACAAGACCCCCTTCTTGACCTCTGTTATGTACTGAGTTGAATAGGATCCAAAATGCAGCAGTCTGATTGGTCCTAGAACAATAGCATCCAAAATGCAGCAGTATGATTGGTCCGCAGGAGCCATCCAGTCCAGCTCCAGGTGGAAGTGAATCCACAACCTAATTGGCTTACAGGAGAATCCCGGAATTAGCCAATCACATGCAGCCCATTGTGTAAATAATGTATATTAAGCAGATATGCCTGGTTCCCTGTAACTTGGCTTCTCGCAGTGAGGAAACCGCCAGAAGGCCCTAGGCGCTGGACCTCAGTGTCCTGGCAGAACAATGAGGGTGGAGACGCTCCTTCAGGTATACTGGACGGAGGCCGTTTAGGGCTTTAAAGGTCAGCACCAGCAAGACCGGTGTTATGTGGTCTCGGTGGCCACTCCCAGTCACCAGTCTAGCTGTCGCATTCTGGATTAGTTGTAGTTTCTGGGTCACCTTCAAAGGTAGCCCCACATAGAATGCAATGCAGTAATCTAAGCGAGAGATAACTAGAGTATGCACCACTCTGGCGAGACAGTCCGCGGGCAGATAGAGTCTCAGCCTGCGTACCAGATGGAGCTGGTAAACAGCTGCCCTGGACACAGAATTGACCTGCACCTCCATGGACAGCTGTGAGTCCAAAATGACTCCCAGGCTGCGCACCTGGTCCTTCAGGGGCACAGTTACCCCATTCAGGACCAAGGAGTCCTCCATACCCACCTGCCTCCTGCCCCCCAAAAACAGTACTTCTGTCTTGTCAGGATTCAATCTCAATCTGTTAGCCGCCATCCATCCTCCAACCGCCTCCAGACACTCACACAGGACCTTCACTGCCTTCACTGGTTCTAATTTGAAAGAGAGGTAGAGCTGGGTATCATCCACATATTGATGGACACCCAACCCTGGTGATAGGATTATAAAATTCCCTTCCCTTTCATCCTCGAATTGTTTCTGATTTCCTGAAGGAGCATCTCCTCTTCTGTCCTCATCTTGGAGCATAATAAGGAGAAGAAACGTACAGCAGACTACCTATTCCTCCTGCCCCATCTTTCTACTGGTTTTACACACTCACGTATGGTGAGAGTCTACATCTTCCCTCCCATCCATCTCCCATTTGTTTCTTCATCATAGTCTGGGACAATTTCACGCATTTAATTTATTCTGGCAATCTCCCGTCCCAGCTTCATGAGGTCTTCCTTCCTCTCCCTTTGTACTTTTTTTTTTTGCTTTTTTATTTGAAAACCTGGGGAAAAATATATATCTAACTTACCCTGACAACTCTGTCAGGGCAACATTCCCATTTATGCATCACATTACAGTATTATTGAAGCATGGATGATGCAGGACTTGGGCCTACCGTTGTCAACTGCCAGGAACGTAGCCTCGTAGACGTTGTTCTTAATGTAGGCCGACTCGCGATCAAGGATGGCAGCGGTGGTGATCTGACCATTTGTGGCATTAATGTTCAGCCAGTTTGCAGGATCTGACAGCTTGGAGTATCTGCGGAGAGCCGAGAATAAATACATGGCAGTCTCTTCCAATGACATGTCCTGAATATGGCTTGAAAATAAGACTTGAATAGTGTTTTGGCATTCTTGGTTTTCAGACTCCTGGCTCTTCATTTCGAAAGAGCACTTGGACATTTAGTCAGGCCTAAGGTGCATGTTATGTGTGAGAGACCCCCATGACTGGAACTTGCAAGACACACACACAACAGAGTTCTGGGAAGCTGCCAATTTATTGGAACTGTGGCAAGGGCTGGGAAGGAGTGGACGAATCTCTCTATTTTGGTTCCTCTCAGTTGCTCATTTTTCCAATTCTAAATTCAGTTCTCCACATTTTCCATTCACCGTATTTTTCACTCTATAAGACGCACCAGACCATAAGACGCACCTAGTTTTTGGAGGAGGAAAACAAGAAAAAAAATATTCTGAATCTCAGAAGCCAGAACAGCAAGAGGGATTGCTGCGCAGCGAAAGCAGCGATCCCTCTTCCTGTTCTGGATTCTGGGATAGCTGTGCAGCCTGCATTCGCTCCATAAGACGCACACACATTTCCCCTTACTTTTTAGGAGGGAAAAAGTGAGTCTTATAGAGCAAAAATTACGGTACTTTTTAAGTCCTCATGAAAATTCACCAATATTGTAGAGCACGTTTATCCCAATGCACTAATTTTCATCTAGAATTTCTCCTGATTTAATGCATTTTTGTATCTTTACTAAGATATGCAATTTTAAATGCAAACTTTACCCTAGTTATATGCATTTTTGTACACATTACTTGGCTGGAGAACTGCATTGCAAAAATTGGAGAAGCGTGAATTTCAAAGGACAGCTGTGTTTTGATTGGTGTATTGCTTCGGAAAGCACAAATTAGGTAGCTTTGCCTTTAAAAGTGAAATAAATCAATCCCCCCCCCATTCCTATCTCATTGTACTCTTTCCCAGATCAGAACTGTACTCCCTCATGACTGTCTGCCCTGAAGAGAGAAATTGTGTGAAATGTATTTTCCTCACCCACCTCCATAGAGTAAGCAAGAGCCTGAGGTTGAAAATTTGATGTGGAACAATTCTCAGGTTGCATCTCATTTTAAAAGAAAAAGAAAGAAACAAAATGTTTGGGGAGCCAATAAAGGATCTTATGCCTAATGTGCAGTTTGCTCTTTATTGACAAAAAAGGGCCCTATAAATGTTTGGCAATTCTTATTTTGACCTCTGTAGCTGCACAATTTTCCAGGAAAGTCTTCATGCCCTGTTGTCAGGCTTTGGGGGAATCGGCTTCCTCCCCCATGGCAGTAAATAAGAAGTGATCAAACGAAAGGAACGTCTTACCAGTTAGATACTTTAATAATCACAGTGAGAGACAAAGAACCTGTCTACCTAGAATGGCGGTGCTCCCAATTAAGGGACACTCCCCACTCTGTCCCTATTAATCTACGTCACTCCTACGTCTTGTAATCTCATCTTGTACCTTCTGTGCTTTCTGTTCTGAGACTTTCTGAGTTCTTCTCGAACTTGGGCTGAGCAGAGGAATGCTATCCAGAGACTGTGAATCAATCTGTTAACTCTCTCTCTTCCAGTGTTTCTTCTCCCAGCTGTTCCCCATCCAGTATTTCCCAGCTTCTGCCTTCTGAACTGTGCCCCTCTGCAAACCACTGTTCCAAATCTATACTGTCCTCCTGCTCCTGGGAAGATTCAGGATCAGGGGGAGGGGGAGGCTCCCACCATTCCTCCTCAGTGTAGCCCTCCTCAGCACGGTCCCTGACACCTGTGGTATGTGCTGCTTATGGCATGGTTACTGCCATGCTAGTGGTAGCAAAAGCATTATTTAGTAATACAGTGGTACCTCGCAAGACGAATGCCTCGCAAGACAGAAAACTCGCAAGACGAAAGGGTTTTTGGTTTTTTGAGTTGCTTCATAAGACGATTTTCCCTATGGGCTTGCTTCGCAAGACGGAAACGTCTTGCAAGTTTGTTTCCTTTTTCTTAAAACCGTTAATACAGTTGTGACTTGACTTCGAGGAGCAACTCATAGCACGCGACGTGGTAGCCTTTTTTGAGGTTTTTGAAGACTTTGGTGATTTTTGAAGCTTTTCCAAAACTTTTCCGAAACCGTGCTTCGCAAGACGAAAAAAATTGCAAGACGAAAAAACTCGCGGAACGAATTAATTTCGTCTTGCGAGGCACCACTGTACATGAACAGTAATAATATTGCCAGGTTAAAAATTATGAAACCGACATTGCAATATGGACTTCAAAATGGTATTCGATGATATATTGCCCAGCCCTGGTTAATGCATGAAGAGACTTAGCAATCCTGATCAAGACTGTTCAAATCGAAGGAAAGGAAAATGAAAATAATAATCCAGAACTTTCATCTAGAAAAATAAAAATGCATGCATTTCCAGACACTCTTTATTAGAACTCGTGGACATTCAATGAAGCAGAACGTTGGAAGACTCAGGACACACAAAAGGAAATACTTCTTCATCTTGATGGCCAACAACCTGGATAGCCTTTGAAGAAAATTAGGCAATTCATGGAGGATAAGGCTACCCATGGCTATTAGCCACAACGCCTGTCTTCTCCCACTACAGTTGCTGGAAGCTACCAGAGGGGAGAGCACTGTTGCACTCAGGGTTCTCATGGGCATTGTGAGAACAGGATGCTGGACTAGAAGGGCCAGCAAGAATTGCTGAACTCATGGGGAATTAAACTCTGGCCCCTTTTTTTGCTGTTTTGACTGTGCCACTTAAATTGGACCTGTGGAACATGGCTGGGAAAACCAGCCACAAACAACGAAAGAGACACACAGGCCTTCTAGCATGGAAGCTTGCAAGTGGAAGGAAAGCCACCCAGGCAATAGCACCACCACCCAATTGTTCTTCTGCTCTTGGACCAGAAAATCCTAAGCTGGGTCTTTCCCACTCCACACAGCTGGGATGTACAGCCTGCATTTGATCGGAAGGCAAACAGTTTTCCGTCTGCACACTTCAGTGCCGCTACGAGCGAGGAAGGGAAATAAGCACCCTTCAAAAGCCCGGGAGCTTCAGAATGAAACAACTAAGAAAAATGGCCTTGTTAGCTGAGACATTCCCTCTGTCCTTAAAGGTTTCACTGCCTGTCCAAAGCCAACAGGCAGAGGCAGTGAGTAACCACCGTCATTTTCTGCTCCAGACAGCTCCATCCCAGGTGAAATATCTCAACCCTCTAATGATTATAAAATGTCACAAGTGATGTAAGTTTAATTGGCCCCGGCTCTTGTTCCACAGTGTGCCCTCCTGCTATGCCAAATATATCTAGCATTTGCAATAAAGGAGCAGACAGATAACCAGTGAGGCTGGGAGGCAGGGAGGAGAGTTAGAAACCCCCTTTTCCTTAGGACTCAGCTGAGCGTACTGTGGAGAACACGGGTCCTTCTCATTCAAATGGTATTTAAGCTCATCCAGCTGTGTGTTGGGTTGCAGTTAGCAGCTCAAACGGATGGTTCAGTGGCACTCTTGTCTCTGGAGTATATGTGTCTCTCAGCCACCATAGAGCATGAGAGCATAAGAAGAGACTGTTGGATCAGACCAAGGACCCATGAAGCCCAGCTCTCTGTTCTCACAGTGGCTAACCAGATGCCTATGGGAATGTCAGGATGCTGTCACCAGCTGGTTGCCCGGGAAAGTATAAAGACAAGGAAAAATTTCTTACCGTCCTTTTTTATTTCAAACTTTACAGAGAGAGGCTATAGAACCCAGCCTCTTGGATAATGGCGTTGTCCCGAGTGAATCTCCACCCCCCCACTTCTCTCCCTTTTCCTCATTACTCATCACCTCCTCTATGGGTGCCGCTAAGTGCCGTCTATCTTTGAGCTCTTTGCTCTCCTACTTTTAAGGCTCACTAGGTTCTGGGAGATGCTGGGTCTGGAATGCTTTCTAGTGACAACATGTAAGCCAGCTGCTGTGCTGGTTCTGTCTGCTCCTCCTCTCCCACTATTTCCCAACTTTCCCCTTCATCTGCCTCTGAGCTGTGACCTCCCGCAAACCTATGTTGTAAGTCTATACTGTCTTCCTCTTCCTCCTCCCTGGAGGAAGATGGGGAGGCGGTCTCCACCATTCCTCCTCCTCTGCCCAGCCCCTGACAGGGAAGCACAACAGCATTGTCCCCACCTGCAAATCCCAGAAGCTGGTATTCAGAGGCATATTGTCTCCGACCGCAAAGGCAGAGCATAGCCATCATGGCTAGTAGCCACTGGTAGCCTAATCCTCCATGATTTTGTCCAATCCTCCTTTAAAGATGGTGGCCATGGTTTAACTACGAGCTGGTATAACTACACTTTCCTGTGTCTGTCCTGAATCTTCCAACCTCCAGCTTCATCGGATGACCCAGAGTTCTAGCATTATGAGAGAGGCACATGGAAAAGTATGGGGCAATTAATACACGATAGGTGGAATTCAACACCATGCAATAACAATTGTTCTGTGAGTACAAGCATTTCTGTAGGTAGTAGTGTTTAGCTGTGTCTTGTGTCTGGAGACAATAAACACCTTCTTATTTTGAACCACGTGGGAGAGGAGTTTCCCCCTTAACTGGGGACTCTGGAAGAAGCTGTCTGCTGGGAACAGGAAACTTCTGAAGACTCAATCAGGGCTTGGCTGATACATCACACTGGTTGAGGTGTGGTAAACTACCAACTGACTTTTACAAGTCACCAGCAACCAACATGGTGCCTATTTGACTCTAACTCCCATCATTCCCAACCAGCATGATCAATGGGAGTCCAGCAATATATGGAAGGCACCATGTTGGCTATCCCTATAATATATATTCTTGCAGATATTTCCCTCCACATCTGCACATGATGTATGGTAAAAAAAAAACAACCCTCTTAGCAGGGTGATCCTATGATAATGTTACCCTGTATTCAGAGAGTTTAGCCCAGAGCATTTTATCACCATGGTAGAATTGACTACACTGCAAACATCTAGGTCACAAAAGCCTCTCCTCCTTACAGAGGGGAGGAGTTGTGAGCAGGAGCCGTTTCCCGTGTTGGCAGGGGGCTGGAACGCCCCCTGCCCAGCTGGCCTGGCTGCCGCGCCACACCCCCAGGTAGCCAACCAACCAGGTGGAGGCTTGGGGGCAGGGTTTTGCCGCTCAAACGTGGCCGCAGCAGCACTTCCCTTTCATTCCGCTGCTGGTTTTCGTCGGATCACTCACCCACCCTCCCTTTAGTTCACTGCTTGTTTCTTGACATTGCTATGGACCTGTGGTTGATCGCCTTGGTTGTCCAAGGGGCCTGGTAGGAATTTTTATCCAACTGGCAAATTGGCACCGGCGATTTGGTTTTTCACTTACCTTGTAGCAAATCATCACAACTTTTAGGTATTGGCAGTTAGGCATTGGAATATGTTTGTGTATTGGAGGGCAGGGTGTGGCCATCACCTACCCCTCCACTTTATGGGTATTCCGGTAAAGGAATCCGGCGGTCGTGGATCCTGTCCGATGCCCTTGCTGGTGGCTAGGGCCATGGCACGACCCCTGGTGACATCAGGGAGAGCTTTCAGTTGTATTTGCATCAACAGGCTCCTCCCACTGGTGGGATAGACTCACCCCTCCCTGAGGGGGTGGAGTCACGCTCTGTTGTTTTATCCAATGCCTAAGCCAATACCTCTTACATGCTGTAATCAATAGTTGTGGCCTTTTTTTAGCCCATTAACCTAATATACTGTGTCCATGTGTCTTTCTTATCCCCAAGCGGGTGGCGGGTCCTTGAATCACAAACCCAGATTCGAGGCGTACCATGTGCTAAATCATCTTCAGCATCCATATAGACAAACAGACAGCGCCCCTTCTTCCCTGATATTTTCTAAGGAAATGCAATGCACACCCTTGCTTGTAGATTGGTGGTTCCTTCTCACCTTACAGCTTGCTGCATGGAACCGGTCAGGATCCACAGCTGAAAAGTCATCAATGCCGTCCCCGTAGGTACTCCTTCCTCCAGCCTGATGAGTTGTGGTTTGTGGGAAGTAGGGTGGTTCATTGACATCAGTGACTGAAATGGTGACGCAGCAGTAGACTGGAAGGACATTTGGATGCCGCTGGCCAGAGGAGCTTGGTTGGACACCATCACCGTCAGCATAAAGGCTCTGTTCATCTCATAGTCAACTTCCTAGGAAATGCAAAGAAATACACAAAAGAGACAGAAATCTGTGCACGTGGAACTACAGACTGGAAATATGATAATCACTAGCTATCTCATTATCTCACGGGCATTTCAGAGACATATTTTAAATTCAAGGGCAATAGCTACGGTCATTTTGAAAGAACGCATTTTTAATGGCAAACAAACTTGACTGTTTACTTGGCATGTGTCCCTCATGGTTGAGTACCTGCATTTGTCACATGGTCAAATTTGCTTTAGCTGATGTGGGGACAGTCACTCCTCCAGAATGCTGGAAGACAGCACTTCCAGAATAACATGACCTACGCTGTCTGGTCTGGATAGATGCTTTGCCTGCATCCCACAACTTCCAAAGGCTTCCAAAGGCAGATATAGCTCTAGGTTTGTGGGGGTAGTCGCCAAATAATCCCTGCTGGGCACCCTTCTGCCTTAGCAGTCCTAGGTGGTGGTTTGTGGTGCCACAAGACAACAGCAGTGCTGCAGTGAGTGTCAGGTGACTGTTAGCTGCTGTTTTCATTTCCCCACAATGCCATTGGAGTGAGACTATGTTGGAGACATTGTGGGAAAAGTAAACTGGTGGCTCCAGGCCTCAGCTATGCAGCAATGACCTTTTTCCCTCCCGTAAAATGGGGGAGTAAGGCAGGCATCTGATGTGGGTCCTGCTGGAATCCTAAACTCTGTCATCTGCCCAGTGATGCTGTTTCTTGTGGCCTGCCATATTAGCCTGTTGCAGGATGGATAAAAATATGTCTAGTGGCACCCTTAAAGGGCGATTCGTATTTATTTCAAAAACAAGTGATGGCTCTTCAAGTGCTCTGCCAAACAAAGCAATACAAAGCAAAATACTAACAAAATAAAACTGTCAAAATAGCGTGCATTCAGTAAAATGCCTATAGTATGCATTTTTGCACATATTATTGATTGTCTGCATAAACCCTTAGGAGCAAGATAGAACACACAGCTAGCTTTATCTGGCATAGCTGATTGAACTGCAGTGTCACAATAGTAGTATCAATAATCATTACTGTTAGGATTTGTGTAACAAATTTATATACTGCACAAAGAAAAATTTACCTAAGCAACACATAAGAATGACAGAAAACATGCATTAAACAAAGAATTGAATTCAAACTTATATAAAAACCATTTGGTCACTCAGATAACTAATAACACATGGTTGCCTGCACTTTGCAGAAAGCTTGATTTGCCACGAATACTATTAATATTTATTTATTTTATTATCCATGCTTTCATACCAAGATGGCTTATGTTTCCCCACCCTCAAAAATCAATAAAACATATATCCATAAAAATCAGTTAAATACTAGTGGATACTGGTTGGTTAAAAGGGGTGGAAATCGTATTATGAAGACCTGTCTAAATAGTTACAGCTACCACTGCCGATGTCTAAACTGTCCCTCTGATGATGATTATGATAATGGTGAAAATCAAGAAACCCTTTTGTCATAATTCTGTGCAAATCTAAATAGGATTGAAATGGTGGTCATAGTAATGCACAACTCTTTTACCAGTGTAATTTCAGATTTCTAAGGGAGCCTTCTTTTTAAATCTGGACTCCCAACCTGGGGGTTAATCTGAGTTACAGAAGACCAGGGCTAAGATCTGAATCATCCTTTCAGTGGGAATACTGCATGCATAACCGCACATAAGGACTTTAGCCTATTTAAATGTGCCAGATCCACAGAGGCAGTGCCAGACAAGTCGCTCACCCCAACATATTTAAGATGGAAGTGTTAATATGATAGATATCACTTCTCTACTTAGAAGTTTAACCTGTGAGACAAAGTTTCCACACCACCCTTGAAATGCATTTTGTTCCTGCTGTGTGTCCCCCAATATATTTTGTGTGTTATCCACCAATTTGCTGGCCACCTAATTCCTGATACATTTATGTCATAGGGCTTAATAGTCAGAACCCAACCTGTACATTTGCACTGTCAGAAGTCAGAAAGCATACAAATCTATCTATCTACTATCTTCTTCAACACTCAGGAGCTCAGAGCAGAACACAGGATATTCACTATGAACACATGGCTTAATAAAAAACTTGGTGGTGGCACGTTTGAACAGACCGGCGAAGATTAAGTAAGCTTTCTCTAATATTTATTAGTTCACATCTCAAGGGGCCAGAACGGTGCTGTTATGTCAGGCACTGAAAACAAAAGTTACATGGCTAGGAGGCATTTAAGAAAGAATAGCTTACTGCAAGTAAAACATCTCAGGAGGAAAGGTTTAATTTCTCTCCCCCCTGCTTCGGTTAACCTTGAGTGGAGTTATCAAAATAGAATTTGCTGAAACAGTTGGGTTGGAGACACTGAATGGAATATAGGGTTTGATAGCCTACAACGGCCTGAGTAAATTCTCCTATAACATACATTGAAAGCACTCTTATGCCACTTCAAACTGCCATGGCTTCCCCCAAAGGACCCCCTTATTCCCCTCCCAGAGCTACAATTCCCAGAGCTCCCTGGGAAGAGGGATTGAATGTTAATCTACTTTGGGAATTGCAGCACGTTCATAATCTATCACTTTGCTCACCCACAGGGAAAAGGCCTTTGCACCTCTCCTGTGTTTCAAAGATCTGAGAGGGTGGGTGCCCAGTCTTGGCACTCAATTAAATGTGGGTATGCCTAAGGGACATGTTCAATGTAGGAGAGGCAGAGCCGGTGTAAACAGGAACCGAGCAGGAAGAGCAAAGCGTCTCTCAAGCACTATGGACTTTTGAGGAAATGTATAGTAAGACCACCAGAAGCACTGGCAAGCACACTAGCACCAATGGGCACTGCGTTGGCGACCCCTGTTGAAAACTTCACGGTACTTTGCTCCAGTCTATGCCAGTATGTCTATGGGACACGGGTGGCGCTGTGGTCTAAACCACAGAGCCTAGGGCTTGCCGATCAGAAGGTCGGCGGTTCGAATTCCCATGACGGGATGAGCTCCCATTGCTTGGTCCTTGCTCCTGCCAACCTAGCATTTCAAAAGCACGCCAAATTGCAAGTAGATAAATAGGTACTGCTCCGGCGGGAAGGTAAACGGCATTTCCGTGTGCTGCTCTGGTTTGCCAGAAGCGGCTTAGTCATGCTGGCCACATGACCCGGAAGCTGTACGCCGGCTCCCTTGGCCAATAAAGTGTGATGAGTGCCGCAACCCCAGAGTCGGCCACGACTGGACCTAACGGTCAGGGGTCTTTTTATCTTTTACCTATGCCAGTAATTGGTAATTAGTAGCAGAGCGTTTGCTACATGGAGAATGTCCAATAAAATGAACACAGTCTGCAGCCTGAATAATAGAATAGTACAGTTGGAAGGGACCCCAAGGGTCATTTAGTGGTCCAACCCCCTGATATGCAGGAATCTCAGCTGAAGGATCCAAGACAGATGGCCATTCAACCTCTGCTTAAGAACCTCCAAGGAAGGAGAGTCCACCACCTTTTGAGGGAATCCGTTCCACTGTCAAACAGTTCTTACTGTCAGAAATTTCTTCCTGATGTGTAGTCAAAATCTCCTTTCTTGCAACTTGAAGCCATTGGTTTGAGTCCTACCCTCCAGAGCAGGAGAACACAAGCTTGTTCCCTCTTCCCTCTGTGACAGCCCTCGAGATATTTGAATATGTCTATCATATCTCCTCTCAGCCTCCTCTTTTCCAGGCTAAACAAACCTGGCTTCTTCAACCGTCCCTTATAAGGCTTAGTTACCAGAGCCTCGATCATCTTGGTTGCTCTCCTCTGCACATATCCCACCTTGTCAACATCCTTGTGGTACCCAGAAGGACCATAAGAAAGTGGTGGAACATCTGCATCACACACTAAAGGTCCGTGGCTTCTCTAGGTAGGGGCTGAGAATGTCCCTTGTCTGAAGACCTGGAGAGCTACTGCCAGTCTGTGTAGACATCATTGAGTTGGATGGTCCAATGGTCTGACTCAGCCTACGACAACGTCCCATGTTTGCTCTCATAGAGGGCAAGCATAATTTTCATAATAATTAAATAATAATAATAATAATAATAATAATAATATGTCCATAATTTCCCTGCTTCGGGCCAACACCCCCCCTGCCAAATGTGAGGAAACCCTTTGAGAAATTAAAGCTTTGGGCTGACTGTTTATGATGAGTCGACTATACATTTTGTCCCACTGTCGCCCAGATGCCCTGTTTATTGCATATTATTTCATTGTGTCTCTAAAAGCTTAGTCAGGTCCTTCCTAGTGGCTTTGGAGTTTGGGAGGATTGCTATGACCTCTTACTAGTGGAACTGAGAGCACATAATGTAGATAAATCGGGCTATGTCTGAGAGTTATTATTTATTATTACAATATATATAAATATATAATAATAATAATAATAATAATAATAATAATAATGTACCTTTTTGTTCTAAAGGCATCTTTAACTATCGGGAACAGGCTACAACTTCTCGCTGTTATGTCAGGAGAATGCCTCCATTTCAAAACCATTTCTGTAATCCACGTAGGGTTCATATTAATATTTTATTGAGTCAGATGCCATAGGGTACCTATTTGCAGCACTTGGAGAGTCTGTGTAGGCCCTACGTGGAATGGAAAAGCCAGACTCCCCTCTCCTCCTCATCCCCACCCCCACCCATTTACAAGGCTTGCGAGGGAGATAAGTATCTTGCGCCACCAAGGAAATAGCTTTCGTTGAGATGAAAAAACAAAATTGAAATTGTACATCATTCGTTGCCTCTCGGCACACAAAGTTCGCGTGGCAGACAAACTTACAGTGAAAGCTGGTTAAAAGGGCTGCAGCTACACAGGTTTAAGTGAGGGATCCCGAAGTCTCTGAAGAGTTCTTTGACTGATGTGATTTTTCAAAGTGCGCCATCCAGCTGTTTGGGATATGCTGGGTCCTCAACCCCACTTGATACAAACCACAGCAAATTTGTCAATTTAGATTTCTTTCTGCTTTTTATATTTTGCCTTTTCTGCATCCGTTCACTTTTGTTCTCCTCATAGACACATGTTTCTATTTATTTAAGGCTTTTTAATTTATTTACTATTGATTATATTTATATCCTGCCTTTCTTCCTATGATCTCAGGGTGGTGTACATGGTCCTTTCCCTCCTAATTTTATTCTCACAACAGCCCTGTGAGGTAGGTTTGGCTGAGAGACTGGGACTGGTTCATTCAGTGAGCTGCAAGGCTGAGTGAGGATTTGAATCCTATTCTCCCAGGGCCTGGTCCAACACTCTAACCAGTACAGTGGTACCTCGGGTTACATACGCTTCAGGTTACATATGCTTCAGGTTACAGACTCCGCTAACCCAGAAATAGTGCTTCAGGTTAAGAACAGAAATCGGGTTCCGGTGGCGCGGCGGCAGCAGGAGGCCCCATTAGCTAAAGTGGTGCTTCAGGTTAAGAACAGTTTCAGGTTAAGAACCTCCGGAACTAATTAAGTGCTTAACCCGAGGTACCACTCTACTCTTTGCCTAATATACACATTTTTGCAAGGGATTTCACTGTGATAAGGTAAATTTGTTCATTATTTTAGCTAATCTACAAATTGATAGGTACGTTAACTTTGCTCCAATTATACTTCTTTGCCCTCCTCTTTTGGATTAAGGACTGCACTGCAAAATTGGGTGAAGTGTGAACTGGAAGAAACAATCCCTAATATAAAAACTTCTGACGAATGCTAGTAAATACCGTACTTTCTGTCTATAAGACGACCCCATGTATAAGATGACCCCTATTTTGGGGGGCTCAAATTTAAGAAAATGGAGGGAGATGGCACAGAGTTGTTGAGCCTTTTTTTAGGGGGGATTGATGAAAGTCGCTCACCTGTGCACATCACTAAATACACCTCCCGTCTGTCCCATCACCGGCAGAAGCTGCCAATCGCCCACCCAACTGCCAGAACGTCAGCCAATCAACACCACCCATTAACGCAGCAACCAATAACACGCACAATAGCCGCTGACAGCCTTGGCAGCAACCAATCAAACGTCCACCCTATGCACTACCCATGTATAAGACGACCCCCACTTTTTAGCACAATTTTAAAGAAAAAAACCTCATCTTATACACGGAAAAGTACGGTAAGTCCTTTTATTAAGGGTGGGCGAACAAAGCATGGAATTTTTTTGACTGTTATATATGCATATATATATATATATGTTATATATCATATATAACAGAAAAAGCGGCTTTCATCCTAATTTCAAGGATGATTTCTTGGAGACATAGTTCCCGTTTCTGGCACGAGGCCTCTAAATGGGGATGAAGGCAAGGCTTGATGTACTCAAGATGCCAGAAGGGGGAACAAAAATGATCAAGGGGCTGCAGAAATTCCCCTGTTGAGGAAAAGTTATGACGTTTGGCGCTTTTTCCTTCAGAAAAAGGCAAGAGAGGGACAACATGATAGAGCTGTGCAATATTATGTATTGTGGACTAAGAGGACGGGCGGGAGATTTCCTCCATCTCTTGCAACATTAGAACTTGAGGCTATTCAAGGAAGACGAATGGTGGGAAATTCAGGGCAGATTAAAGGAAGTATTTCTTCACATGGCAAAGATCTAAACTGCGAAATCCACTCTCCTACAAAATGTAGTGATAGCCACCAGTGTGGATGACACCTACACTTCTTTTAATTGTTCTCCGAGACATGGAGGGGAGGTAGAAGGAAAACCAGAATGTTCCTGATCAACTCAGAAACTGAGATGGCTTCTTCAAACACCAGGACTGTCCTGAAAATTGGGACACTTGCAGGGAATGTGATGGGCGGTTGTTTTTCTTAAGGCAAAAGTTGGGGAGCAATGTATGGTAACTCTTACTTTGGGAAGTAGCTTGCATTCCAACCATGCAAAAGTCATAGGAAGATGGGAAGCTGCCTTAACAGCAAGTCAGACCATTGGTCCATTCAGTTCAGTATTGCTTACACTGACTGGCAACAGCATCTCTCCAGGGTTTCAGGCAGCAAGTATTTCCTAGCCCAATCTGGAGAGTCCAGGGATCATAGAATTGTAGAGCTGGAAAAGGACCCAGAGGACCATCTAGTCCAACCCCCTGTCCCATATGGGGATCGAACCTGCAACCTTGCCGTTATCAGCACCGTGCTCTAACCTACTGAACTATCCAACAAGGACCTTTGGCATAAAAAGCAGATGCTCTACCAGAGGTTTCCACACATGTCTCCATCTGGGCAAGCAAGAGACATCAACACAGGTCAAGGACACAATTCAGTTGGGCATGGCCTAGGGCAGGCATCCCAAAATTTGGCCCTCCAGAAGTTTTGAGACTACAACTCCCATCATCCCTAGCTAACAGGACCAGTGGTCAGGGATGATGGGAATTGTAGTCCCAAAACATCTGGAGGGCCGAGTTTGGGGATGCCTGGCTTAGGGCATCTGAAGAGCCAGACAGATTCAGACTCCAGGCCCTCAGTTCCCTGTGATTCTCAGGCAGCAAGGCTGTTGGATTCCATGGGAGAATTCTGAATGGATCGGTAAAATGCTACCATTGATGATGAAGAAAGATGCAAGCAACAGAAGATTGTCTTATAGGTCATGGATTGAATCCAAGATAAAGGCGATGAAAAGGGATGAGGTTTTAGGTATGTGTGTGCGCGTGTGTGTATGAAGGTTGCAGGAACCACAGATGGAGCAAGTTAAAATGACTTTAAAAATAATAATTGCTTAACCAGGTAGCAACCGTGAATGTCCCCAAGGTCAATGCAAGAACAAGCTCACAAGCTTCTCCCTCCATCCTTGTGGCATTTCACGGATGGCATTGCATTCGGAGGCAGGGCAGTTTGTTAGGTAGCAGCAAATGTTCTTTGCCCATGAATCACTCTCTCACAATGCTGCTCTTTCAACTTTAGCAGCGCAGCATAGTACATTAAAAAAAATTGCTGCTATGGGAAGGTCACACTTTTCAAAAGATTGAAAAAGCTCTGTTCTCAGCAACATGCTTGCAAAAAAGAAGATTCTTTTCGAGAACAGTGTATCGGACACACTGCGCAGGTCCTTGCCGATCAGAGCAGCCTATTCATTCGCACATCCTTTCTTGTCTTGATGGTCTATGCCACAGACTCTATGGAAAACAGCGGCAGGAATCTTATCTGCTAACTGATTCACTTGATGTTCTCTGTGCATAATAACACAAGGGGAGAGAAGGTGTTGACCCGTGCTGCTGATTTTCTAAGCAGCGTTTTCAAACAAATAGCAAATGTGGGTTTCTTTTTGGAAAGACAAAAGGCAACAATCACCTCCACATGCAGGTTAATGGTATGGGCATTGCGCTCAGGGTCTAAAACTTAAACGAGATATTATCAGGTATGCGTAGTTGCCACTGGTGTTGGTAATGTCTCGTTTTGAAGTGGAGGTGAGATGCAGGACAACTGAGTAGAATTGGCTGGATCCAGAGTTGGACTTGGTTCATGTAGACCCATTGAAATCAATAGGGGGAATTGGTCATGCTAATTTAAGGGCCTATTCAGTGAGAGACATGGCTTAGGAAGAGGAGGAGCTGTGGTGGGACAGGTTCTGAGGAAAGCCCTGAAGGCAAGCTAAAAATTAGAGGTAGAGTGTTACACCCATGGTCTCCATCCTTGCCAAAGTCCTTTATGGTCCAGACCCCTTCATTAGAAGATCTTGACTAACTCTGCTACAGGCAGAAATCTCCCCATAAATTACCCACGACAGAACTCCAAATGGGATGAGTAGAAGGATGGGGCCCCAAATGAGGTGAGCAGCACAATGTACATACCCTCACAACTGTTACCAACCCTTCATTGGTAACGGGGTCTGTCCTGATGGTGAAGTGACCAGAAGGGTCTCCACTGATAATCCGGTAAACGGCATTCCAGTTGGGCGAGTGAGGCTGATCTCTATCCATGACTGTCAAATTAGCGACCACAACTTCCACTCTGTTTTCTGGGACCTCACCGGAATACTGAAAAAGAAAAAGAAAGTGCTGTTAGAAGCATGCATGTTTGTGTGTTCTTCACATCGTCACATAATGGAAGACCAACTGGGATGGTACAGAAAACGTGTGGGCCCAGTGTTTACTTTTTCAAGTGCCCTTTTCAGACAACCAAGCGAACTCTTGGAGTGTGTGTGTGGGGGGGGGGGGAAAGTGCCCATTGTCTCTTTAATGCGTGTTTACCTTGTTGTCTGTATGCTTGGAGGCTCTGAACAATCAGAGTTAAACACAGAGGTTCAGTAACAGCAAGTGCATTTCCCAATCTGCCTCCCCTGTTTATTTTGCTAATTAATTAATTAAGAGTTTTCTATACCACCCTCCAACAAAAATGCTGATGCCACAGTTTACAACAACCAAGGAAATATTTAAAAAACACTTAAGAAATAAGAACACTGACAGTAATTATCATAAAATACATAAATTGCCACCGTGACTTAAAAACCTCTCAGTGGTCGTCTGAAGGACAGTTCTCTAATGGGAGGTCTGTCAAGTCCAAGCCCAGTTTAAAGATAAAGAACCACAAGGAGGGAGACTGTGAGGGGCCATGAAGTTGGCCATCAATAGTCAGCACCTGAATAGCAGACTGAGAAGGTCCACAGGTCACCTGGTAACAGAATCTCCCACTACAATACAGTGGAGGCTGATCCAGTAGGCCAAATGGGGTGTTGCCATGCCAACCTCAGCCAGTCCCACCTTGCCAGCCTTCTTACCTACAACCAGTCTGTTATGTACTAAGCTTGGATCCTAGAACAATAGGCAAGTAGGATCCTAGAATGCAACAACTGATTGGCTTGCAGGAAAAGACCAGTCAGGTTCCAGGAGGAAGTTAATCAGCCTATTAGGCTGGTAGGATCGTAGAATGCAACAACTGATTGGCCTGCAGGAAAAGACCAATCAGGCTCCAGGAGGAAAGCAGAACCAGCCAATCAGACAGGACTCATTGTGTAAATAATGTATATAAAAGCCTGAGGTTTTGGGGGAAATTCAATCACTGTTTTACAAGCTACAATAAAGAGCATGAAATCACAACAGGTCTCCAAGTATATTTCACAGTCCAAAGGGTCATTCTACCTGTCAGGCTTCCTCCTCCTTACTCTCATTGTTGTTCTTGCGGAAGTTGGTAGGGAGGAGGAGCTAGAATTAGTTGCCTCTGCCTGCCATTGGCCCTAGACCCACCTACTGTTGCCCTTTCTGCCTTCCAGTGGCTTAGGATGCCACCTGGGAGGGAGCAAAACAGACGGCAGTACGGATGCACATTCAACTGCCTAATAGTGTCCACGACTTTCAGGAGATTGCAGCCGCAGAGATAAGACACGAAGAGTTGTCCCGTTGTCTGGAGAGGTTGCTTCCTGGTTCGCATGGAGAAGCCATTTTCAATGGAGTGTCGGGATTCACAGAATGCTGTGTGAGATAGTAAGTCTGCAGGCTTGAGTTTGCTAGCTGATGCAACTGGCTGATGCAATCAGCCTGCAATACTTTCTATGGAAGTGCTGGGTCAGAATGACTCAGCAGTAATGTGCTGACAGTTGACTGGCTGTCATCAGTTTAAAAGGGAAACCTTCCCAGCAGCAAATGGGTGGTTTAGAGGAGTGTGGTCAGAGAGAGAGAGAGAGAGAGTTAGAAGTCTTCCTATTTGCCTTAAGGTGCAGCCAGGTACTCTGTTTGACTGTATGAACAGCTTGTGTATTATAGCTTGTAGATATTTGTATATATAGCTCACAATAAATATACTGCACTGAAAAACCTGGAACTCTGAGCATTTCTGCTAAAGCGCTGTGAAGAATTCAAGACAATGGAGCCCAGCGATGGGAGCGTGCAGCTGTATTGAGGCAGCATTGGGTGTTGAAATTTGGCACCCCTGGCAGAAAGCGAGGAGGAATTAAAGAACCTTTTAATGAGGGTGAAAGAGGAGAGCGCAAAATATGGTTTGAAGCTCAACATCAAAAAAACGAAGATCATGGCCACTGGTCCCATCACCTCCTGGTAAATAGAAGGGGAAGAAATGGAGGCAGTGAGAGATTTTACCTTCTTGGGCTCCATGATCACTGCAGATGGTGACAGCAGCCACGAAATTAAAAGACGCCTGCTTCTTGAGAGAAAAGCAATGATAAACCTAGACAGCATCTTAAAAAGCAGAGACATCACCTTGCCAACAAAGGTCCGTATTGTTAAAGCTATGGTTTTCCCAGTAGTGATGTATGGAAGTGAGAGCTGGACCATAAAGAAGGCTGATCGCCGAAGAATTGATGCTTTTGAATTATGGTGCTGGAGGAGACTCTTGAGAGTCCCATGGACTGCAAGAAGATCAAACCTATCCATTCTTAAGGAAATCAGCCCTAAGTGCTCACTGGAAGGACAGATCCTGAAGCTGAGACTCCAATACTTTGGCCACCACATGAGAAGAGCAGACTCCCTGGAAAAGACCCTGATGTTGGGAAAGATGGAGGACACAAGGAGAAGGAGACGACAGAGGACAAGATGGTTGGATAGAGTTCTCGAAGCTACCAGCATGAGTTTGACCAAACTGCGGGAGGCAGTGGAAGACAGGAGTGCCTGGCGTGCTCTGGTCCATGGGGACATGAAGAGTTGGACACGACTAAACGACTAAACAACAACAACAGAACAATTTTGCACCTGGGGCAACTGCCCCTGTGCTCCTTGCTCTAACCAACTGAGCTATTTAGGAACTTGGGAAGCTGTCTTATAGCAAGTTCAGTATTGTCTACACTGGGGTAGCACAACACCAGAGTTTCGGGGGGGGGGAGGCATTCCCAGCCTTATCTGGTGATGCCAGGGATTGAACCCGTGGCCTTTTGCATGCAAAGGAGATGCTGTACCAAAGAGCTGTGAGCACACACAAAAAGGGGGGAGGGTGTGTGGAGAAGCCTTCGAAGCTTGCATTAGACTTTCACAGGAAAACTGTACTTTTATCTGTATTCAAAAGCTAATAAAGAGAGAAGCCCTTTCATCAAACTACTTGACTTCTGGGGCCTTGTGTATTGCACAGAAACTCGCAGAGTCTGCCTTTGAGAACACAATAGCCTTTCATCTGTAACCCAACACTCCTGTACGCTCCAGCCCTGATACTATCATCTTGTTAGGAAGAAAAATTGTGAATTTATCCAAAATGGGATCTCATCCCAGTCTTAGTGATGGAGCTCCTGTGCCAATGACCTTTAAGAGCTCTTTGGCTCAACAATAGAAGATCTTTATCTCGCAAACTCTTGGCGGGGGTGAGGGTGGAGAGGACACGTTAAAATTCAGATCTGATAGAAATAAAAATAATAAAAAAGCAAGCAGGGGCTTCCGTTTTCAAGTTTTGTCAAGCTTGCTTTCTCATCGAACGTACCTTTGTTTCGGGCCCAAGGAATGGATAACGTGAAACAGGAGCCACCCCAACATTATTTGGTTGTGGAGGCTAACCCAACAGTGCTGCTTCAGTGAGAACTGTTTGAATATATTCACCAGTGTGGTGTAGTGGTTAAGAGCGGTAGTCACGTAATCTGGGTAACCGGGTTCGCGTCTCCGCTCCTCCACATGCAGCTGCTGGGTGACCTTGGGCCAGTCACACTTCTTTGAAGTCTCTTAGCCCCACTCACCTCACAGAGTGTTTGTTGTGGGGGAGGAAGGGAAAGGAGATTGTTAGCCGCTTTGAGACTCCTGAAGGGGAGTGAAAGGCGGGATATCAAATCCAAACTCTTCTTCTTCCTCTTCTTTTTGTAACCAGCTCCATGTAGAATCACAGAGTTGGAAGTGACCACAAAGGTCATCTAGTCCAACCCCTGCAATGCAGAAATCTTTTGCTCAATATAGGTCTCGAACCCACGGCCCTGAGATTAAGTGTCTTGTGGCACCTCAGGTGAATGGGTAGTTAACTAAATCTTCCCTTGATTTCAAGCAAAATCCAGTTCCTGCACCAAGGTAACCAAAATAAGCTGAGGCAGGAATATGTTGTGCAAATTAAGCACATTATTCTACAATTATGTTTTTGTGGGTTTTTTTTTTTTTTGCTTTTGGCAAACACAACAGACCAAAAAGAACAGTTGTCTCGAGAGCATTTTGGACTAAGAATTTGGAGAATTTCTAAGCATTCCTTTTAACCTCTAGAATGGGGTAGGAAACCTGTGGCCCTCCAGAGGTCATTGGACAACCAAGTCCCATCAGCCCCTGCCAGCATGGCGAACAGTCAGGTGGGAGTTGTATTCCTGAAAGATCTGGAGGGCTTAAGGCTCCCTGTCCCTGCTCCAGAAGACATTATCTAGAAAATGTAAGTCTATTGCAGTGGAGGAACAGAATCACAGAGAATGTGTTCCAAAGTCTCAAAAGTTATTGGAAAAATGTCCAGAAGTAGCAGGAATCAGTATTAAATCTGTACATGAAAACTTGCTGAAGTATACACTCTAAGATAAGATTGCTTTTATCTGTGCTCGGAGTGGAATGCATTTTCAGTTTCGTCCTTCGCTGAGAGCACACCCTCAAGATCACTTTAAGCACAATAGCTATCCCATAACACTTGAGTTGGATGAAGCATGCATTAGGCTGGTGCAGTCATAGTAAGTGGATAATCTTCATCTCCCACTGCCCTTCAAGGAAGAACAGGATTCTAACCATTTTTTGGGACCCTAATTGCCGACCCAGGAAGTAGTAGTGACCCCAGGTGGATTGTTTTGGATGAAAGGATATCCGATCCTAAGTGTGCAGCTGTGGATTCTCAGGCTGACTCCATACTGTCACTGTGGTATGGGAAGGATTCAAAAACATATTGAAAATTCAGGTTAGCCCCAGTAAAGTGGATTAAAGGGTTCTATGGCCCTAGCACAGCCGATTCACTTGTTGTTGTTTTATTACTCTTTCCAGTTACGGAAATGATCAAGAAATGCATTGAAAAGTGTGTGCTGAATGAATGGGAAGAAGCGTAAGCACCACACAAGCAAAAAAGGATGGATGTTCATTGTCATGTAACCACCCCG